TAGGCCATGAATTTCACTTATGCATGGAAAAACTAGACCCGACTATGGTGGAATGCGATCGAAGGCGTCGAATTTCTTTGGATAATTCGAAATACGAAAGTAGCCACGTATCTATAGGTCAAATCTAATTAAAGAACGTATGCATACGAAGAAGAAATATGCGACGTCCGGCGAAATGTGCGAAGAGTGATAAATGAATTCGTCCAAAAACATTGGTGACAGAAAGGAATGTCGCGAGGAAAAGTTGAAGTTGTTTTATGAGACTCGGTTTTTGCAGGCGGTGGCATTAAGGAGATTTCAAGGTTATTAAACTTTTTACAATGAAAAACGACTTTTAATATGCACGACTGCAGTTTACATTCGAATGGATTTAATGACTACGGTCGTTTAAAGTCAATCGAGGCCACGATGGAAGATAAAGCGATGGTGTCATTTTAATTACCATCATTTTTTATACCTTAATGCCGGTTTATTAGAATTCCGAGCATAGAAATCCGTAATTTTTAATCGCGACTCTATGATAAAAAAGAAAAAGAAAATAATAAGCCTCTGATTAACATTCTTGCAAAGCAGATTGACGTGAATTATCTTCTTAATATTTATGTAGTGTGACATTGTAAAACCCGGTGTTATTCGTGACAATCATTTTTCATACAGCGTTCAATGAAGATTTATGTGACACATAAATATACAGTTTAAATTCGGAATATTAAAGCACCGAGATAGATATTAATTTTGTTAGCTACGACTGTTAGAACAAATATGTCAAAGTCGAGAAAACTCGGTGAATCGTAGAAATTGTGAAAATAGTCGTCGATGCAGTTGAATATTTCTAGTTTATATCGCGTCATCCACTGTCGTTATTTCTGAATGATTATTTCAAGAGAAACGAAATCAAATGGAAGATTCAACATTTAGCACAAAAGATTCATTTCGTTCTTCGTAAAATCAAAATCAAAGGGACTTATACGACTGACGAATCTCTCGAAATTAGGAATTACTGTTTCAATTAATCGCAGTGATCATATAATCGTACAATCGTAATTACGAATTAAACAATCCGAAGATAAAGAACTTCTCGAACGAAGAAACAGTTATTCAAAGTTTGACGATGAGTAATTCCGATTTTATTGTAACGTATTAGCTTTAAAAAAATCAACCTTATTACGCGACTATCATAAACAACAACATCTTATCAACCTAATCAACCTATTAATTAATTTTCATCCTGACGAGAAATAAGCGAATGCCTGATCATTTCAGGTATCTACTCACGCATATATCTAACGATCCATCGTAATCTTTTAATCAATTTACGTTCCAACAAAACTAACCAGGTATCTGACCACTGTAGGTCATATCTACTTGAACAGATACGTCCAGTATTATCGTAGAAACCAAATGGATACAAGTTACAAATTATAACACATCCCAGAACATAATACTCGACAGGATTACATTTCAACAACCCTTAGAAATTCTTCAGGTAATCAACGCTGGCAAGAATCCCGTAAAACGCGCGACGATAATTACAGTTAATCCAGCGGGAATAATTCGCGAAAGATGGCGGCGGCGTTGAATTGAATCGGCCGCGAGCGGAAATATTCATTTTCCGCTGGCGAAATCATTTATCGTGACCGGTGCACGGCCGCTGGACGCGGAAGAAATTTACCGCAAAGGAAACAGATGCGTGCCCTCGTGCGCTAGCTTCTTTCCTTTTGATATTTCTTCTTCTCTTCGTGTTCGCGTTCGAGCGAGCTTCTGCGATCGCGCTCATGCGTGAATACGGAATCGCTTCATTTAAGACGCGTTGCCGTGTATCGTGGCGGCTTCCAGAGGCAAGAAGGCGAAAGAAAGAGAGAGAATGTAAAAACCGACGGTTAAGGACATTTCTATCCGTTGCCGCACGCTGCTTGAACAAGCATGTACCTCCTATGGGTTAATTGAAAAGAATTATTGCAGCTTAAAGTTTAATGATCGGTCTCCTTTGCCAGTTGATAGCGATAACCCTTTCCTTCTTTCGTGTTCTTCTCCCTCGTTTTCCTTTTCTTTTCTTTTCTTTCTGTCTTTCTTTTTTTTTCTTTTTATTTTCTTTTCAATTTCAAGTCGAAGAACTCGAAAAGTACACGGTGAGTGTACTTGTACTAATGAAGTTTATCGAGACAGGTTCTTCGTAATCAATCGATCGTGACAGGTTAAGATGTAGACGTAATTTTCCAAATTAAGTTTGACAGCTTGATGCATGTACATATGGCTGTTTTTTCGCCGTGAAAACAGGTTGGAGAAGCAATCGTTCAGAAATTGTTGTATGATTTCGTTCTGAGAGCGGAATAATAGAAATTGTATATGTATGATTTTTTGGGTGGCAAGATGTTAGAAGTTAATTCGAGGAATATGTCTTGTGTGCGCAGATGAGTCTTGTTCTTGTATGTGAGATATTAAGCCTTGTTTCAGGCCTACATAGATATGCTTCTCTCCACAGATATTTCGTATCGTACATGTAGCTGATATTTGTTATTAACTTTTAATTTACAAAGCAAATCACGATATTACAAATATACTTTATTAAAAGAATTGCTCCTTCTTTCAAGAAGGCAAAGGCATAAAAATTGTAACTATAACATTTCAATACTTAAATACATATTTTCCTATTTGTTATTTTATTTTCTATTATCCATTTTCTTCTCTCGCTTGTATTTCAGCGCAACCATTTTACAAAACATTACTAACTACAAACGAAACGAATAAAGGCTGCCATCGATCTTCGTCAAAATTAATATCAGCACATTCTATTCCAGAACCAAGGTAATCAAAGGCACGTACACCAGAGTGTGTAATTTCGTGCAACAGCTGAAACTTCCTACGAAAAATGTAGCTGACACTTTACACAGCGTACCAAATAAATTAAGAATCTAATTTGTCAGATCCTGTTCCAGAATCGTTCGATACCGAATCATGGGAATAAATCGTACAAATAATATCGACGAATCAAAATACTTTCACAATACGTTCTCGTTAAGCAATAACATCTAAAACAGTAATTACAGAACTTCAAATAGCCGATTTACATCATTGCAAGAATCTCGCCAAGTATATCCAGATTTTTGTCGATACTTATCGAGCCAATTTGTACTTCGGTAAGTGGAATAACTAGTTTCACGCGTGCACCTCCCAATATACCAACCCCTGCAAACGAAATCATTCACTGTCTAAAATCCTTTCAGCTCCAAAACTTATCTCGTTTTACATTACCAAGCTCATCACACCGCATCAATTCTACATCATCATCGATCACGACCTACTACAACATTTGACTAAAAAGATCATTAAGAATAATACTTCAACCCCTGTAACTCCATTTCCACGAAAAAAAAGTAACCTAAAGAAAACTGATCAACCTAAATCCCCGCAAAAAGAGCGAATGCGCACTAAGATTGCAAGACTAAGTCTACACGTATAATCGAACGTACATATACAGTTTCCATATGAGTAGGCTGCTAATTTTTATGCAATCTCATATTTTTATTAACACAGCTGAAGGAGTGGAAATCGTTGAATCGATGAAACGTTACGGCAGGTAATTCGCTTCGAATATTTTCTCTATTTTTGCATTGTATATACGTGTTGTATATTTTTGCGACACTAAATTTTCCATAAATGCATCAAAATGTACGCATTTCGATCATCGAAACGTCCATTCGTCGGAACGACAGTTCGTCAGAGGACGCGTGCACGGCAGTTACAGCCCACCGCAAACCTTCTCCGATCTACGGTAAACCTCTTGTCCAAAGGTTCTCCGGTAAATTCGCGCGGAAGTCGCCTCTCGATAAAGACGAGCAAATATTGCGCGCGTTGTTCACGCGTGGCGAAAGATTACCGATGGCACGCGCGCGGCCAAGCATCACGAATTTAAGATTCCGGCGGATGCCAGCTGGAAAACGGGTCCACGATGCTCCGAATGGACAGAGCGAAAGAAAACAGTCGAGCCAACCGACGATCGTGACTATTAAACAAAAAAAAAAAAGTGAGGAAGATCTGCGTAAACGCGGAATGGTCGGGGACGAAACGCTGCGCGAGGTGCTTTCGTTGGGAAAGGATAGAGAGATACGAAGGTAAGGAAGGCGCGTTCCGCTTTATCAGCGCGCGCCGCATGCCGCGGCGTGTTTCCATTAATTCGCGTCGCGGGGCAAACTCGTGCCGTTGGAATGCCCGTGCTGAGGCCGAGGAGAGAAGTCGTTAGGCCTGCGTGCCGTTCGGCCGGGCAACCGGTTTTCCCATCGGTGATTCGTCGTTAATTCGCCGATGGAGAGTAAGTAATCGCACGCGTACCAACGACCACCTCGAGTGTGTTACACGGTTACCTTCGCGCCGCGCCTACCTCGGGGTTGTTCCGATTTTCCTCGGCGATAAGCGCCGCCACTTCGACGCGAGACGCGAGAAATTCCTTTGACCCTTTTTCGGACTCGTCGGGAATCGCCGCGTTCCTCTTGGCGCGATTCCAACGCGTGCGCGAGGCTTAACCGCTGTCATACGTCGCGCTGTTTTTTTTCTTTCGCACGACCTTCCGATTACACTTCATGATTTGTAGAATTGTTACTTATTCATTGAAATGCGGAATCTATAATTGTATACATGCATATACATATGTAACTTGAAAGATTGAAAAGATTAAAAGGTGTATACGTCACTGAATTCTGAAAAGGTTTTTTCGTTTAGTTTCTCGTTGTTTGATACATTGTTTGATGATACTTGAAGGCCGTGTGCTAATAATTAATCGACAGGAAGATTCAGATTCAAACCCCAATTTGCAGTTTCAATGGAATTAAGTTTAATTGTGGCTTAATTATACGGAGTTTTATTTCCATGGAAAGATCAAATCTTACTTCGACAAACTTCAACACATTCCTACATTTTTGTTGTTTCTTTAAAAGAAACAATGATCGAGTGTTCAGGTATATATATCGTGTTAATAACTTTTTAATATTAGCGATTCCACTCACCAGATAAGTTCGCCAGCATAGAAGTAGAGGTTCCTTCTGCAACAAAGGCACAAACTAAATATGAAGTGACCATATAATAATGTAATTGTTGGAAGTAACATAAGATTCATACTAAGATAAAAATATCATGCGTACGGAATTACTATATCCAATTTATAGCAATACGTATTTACCAATGCAGCATCGGTTGGTTAATGAATGTTGTGACGCGATCCTGCTTCTCCCACGCGTAATCGACGCATATTAATTGCAGTTTAATAATACCTACACCTTACTCAATGTTTAGAATTTGCAACACGATGTTATGCAACTTTATTACGTACGCGTTAAATTGTTTTAAGTTAAATTGTAAGAAGAGAATTACGCGAATCTCGCTTTAGTGACGTATTGGATAGTCTTCATCGAATAAGCGGTGAGATAAAGAAAATGGAGCTTCGATGAAAATTGCGAAGCTCGCGTACTTGGAATCTTGATTAATAAAAATGGAGAAAAAGTTCAGCGTAACTCGAAAAATAAATTAGTCTTGAATCATTGGATTAAAACAGGACTCAAAATAGTTGGAAGTAAAATACGTTACTAAAAGATTCACGAAGCTATTCTACAAACAGTGTCTAGTATCGTTTGAGCGGCGTGAGAACTGGCGCCGCGCACTTCATATTTTCTTTTCTTTCTCTCTCTGAAATTTTACAACGCTTCGCTGGTCTTAAATGCACGTTGACACTTGTCGTTCGAAAAGGTGAACTCGCTTATCTGGAAAAACGAGCAACTGCCGAGCAAAATTGTTAAATATGCCAAGAGACACTCGCGAGGCGTGCACGCACGCGCGATCCCGTATTATTATATTTTACTTCGCGGCGCGCGGAAACCCCAGAATAATTTGCACGAATGAGCCGTAATTATTTAAGGGTTTGCATATGTAAGAAGGGTGGCGGCGACTAACTAACAGCTATAGTTATTTTAGCCACACACATTATACACCAACCTCTATCGATTCGCCTTCGCCTTCGCGAGACGAGCTCGTTTGCCTCTTCCGGGAACCACTGTTCGCAGACTAATAAACCTTTCGCCGATAATTATCGTTGGCACCGCGTGACTTTCCCTTTGACGAGACCGTTTGCTTCGAGAATAACTTCGATTCGTTATCGTGCACTTAGTTAGAATTTATTTAACTTTAGAACTTACGAAAGGAAGTCGTTATTTCTTAAGAATTGCATGTTAAAATCGTGTACTCGATTAATGAAATTAACAAGTTTACAGAAAATCCAGTGGATCGGTTTAACTCCTGAGAGGCTTTCTCTTCTGTTCAAGATTTATTGCATCTATTTGTGAGAACAAGGATACCACAAATTGAAATTGACTTGTCCGTACGAATTTTTATTTCTAACTCGAAGGAAAGGTTTAGATATGTTATCCCATATTTTCAAGCTCTGATATATGCTGTTCCAAACTATTATGCGAGACCTTCATCGTAAGAGAACGAAAGTAACTTTCTGCGTGTCTCTCGTAAGCTATGAAGCTGAACGACCACCTGATGTGTAGGCGTCGAAACCAAGTGTGCAATAAACCTGAATCAAGAAAAATCGAACACTTTTTTCTCCTACTCTTTTGGTCTGGACAGCTTCTTAACTGCACCACTGCGTTACGATTAATTTGAAATCAATCTTGTTATTCGGTTTTAATCTCTCGTATCAATCGTACATCGATATTATACATTGAACATCTCATGTTATTAGATTACGTTTGAAATGTTACATAAATTATTCCGTAGTTAGTAGTTATAATGCCTAGAATATCAAGACAAAAAACATATCATTATTTAAAAGTATCTGTTCGTAGATACATATTAATTTTCATACGATGTAATTTAATCATTTGTAAAATTCCTGAAACCAATCTGATTGAAATCGTTGTGTCTGTATTGATTTCTAATTCTACGCTCACGGAATTTGTCCGGTTAATATATTAACATATTCGCTGCCGTTAAAATACGAGTATCATTTGCGCGAGTATGAGAGTATCAAAATTATCATCAATTTCTAACCTGTAACTCTGTTGCAGCCCACGAATTTTCATTTCTAACTCTCGTTTCAACAAACACAAAGACTTTTAACGTTTGACAAAATCTTTTATCGCAAGGTTAGAATGAAAATTATTAAAATTATTAGACAATAACAATAACATTTTTCCAATACTTTCCTCAAGGTAAAGGGACTTTCCAACAAGAGGAAATACAAGTTTCACAATGGAAAATAGCAACGCAATAAGGTTAAGAAGATTCTTAAAACGACACCTCGAAACCTTGATATAACGTTTCCCCGTGTTTTCTGCTGGACTTGGAAGGTTAAACGCCGGCGACGACACCGATTTAGAGAACGCTTTATAGCTCAGGGTGGTAGCGCCGCGTGGCACACGGACAAGACCGCGCGCTACGACAGAAGC